AACACATGAAGAGGTGCACCACCTACAAATTTAATAACTACACTACAGCTAGAACTACATGCAATTATAATAAAAATAATTCTGACATCCCCCCGTAACTGCATGCAGGAATAGCTAAGTGCCGAGCACAACCTGCAGAGGTACACCAACGAGCAATAAAACAAGCAACAGCAGGTACTGCAGGCGGGCTAACTTTGAAAGGTTACCCCCTCCATCTCCTCACCCTCCTCCTTCCCCTCCCCCACACTGCTGCAGAAGCAGCAGAGAAGGGGGGAAGAGAGGAGAGGTGGAGGGACGGCTGCTTGTTGCCTCACACCCGCCCCCCCGGTACCACTCCCCCTGCTCACCCACATCCTCACACCCTCCCCCCCCAGCGGCAGCTGCAGCGGTGGGACTGAAAGAAGGAGGAGGGGAAGGGAGAGAGTTGACCCCACGCTCCAACACCCTCCACCCCCATACCCTCCTCCCCACGGCTGCAGGGAGACAAGAGAAAGGGGGGGGTGGGAAGGAAGAAAGCCGCAGAGCGGCGAAGAGGCATCGGTGCAGATGGGTCAGGGGCGGCAGCAGGGAGTGCAGGGGCGGAAAGGCCCGTCGCGGGCCAGTGCCACGAGGCACACGATGGGCAGATAAAGGGCACCGTCGCGTGCCACGGGGTGCGCGACGGGCAGGGTAGGAGTCACACGCCCGTGGGCGGGACAAGGTAAAGAATAAAATCGTCACGCGCCCTAGGCGCGCGACCGTAAAATTTTAGCAGCGGAAGTAAAGCGGGCCCACAGGCCAGGACGAACTCAGCTCTGATACCATGTCGAGAGTCTCAGAACAAGAGTTGAAAGGTGGGGCCTAGGCTTAGTAGCCTAGGCCCGTAGTTAGGTATCGAGCGGGTTTTTCCCTAGGAGAGTGTCGAGTGAGTTGAGAGAGGAAAGTTGGAGAGAAATGAGTTTTCACTATAGGATTCGAAGTACATATAGCAAAGGAACACATGAAGAGGTGCACCACCTACAAATTTAATAACTACACTACAGCTAGAACTACATGGAGTTATAATAAATATAATTCTGACACGTTCCTCAAGAATGGCGTCGCCGTCATAGAGTTCCTTGCGCTGCTTACGGTGCAAAAGTGCGACGCTCATTCGCTTTTTACCGTGCTCATGAGCCACTTGGAATCTATCGGTGTCGACATCAATTGGGTGGCCGGCGTCGGCACCGACGGGGCTTTCGTGATGACGGGCGATAAGGGTGGCCTTGTATTCCGCTTACGGGAGTACGTTCTGCATGTCGTCGGGTGTCACTGCGTTGCACATCGGTAATGTTATTGTCGCTTACCCTAGGTATCATACGTGTGTAATTGCGCGTGGTGTCGCAATACTGATGTTTTATAATTTCATTCCCAATCTGTGGCATGGAGGCGCTTGTGGTCAAGGATGCAACGAAGGCCTCCCCCGACCTTGACATGACCGATGCTGGTGTGTGTGCAATAGGGGAAATCCTCTGCCGCTCGAGCACTTGGTACGAGAGGTTCAAGGAGCTGCAACAGGAGATACATCGTACCAATATGGAGCATCAAGGTTTAGTCAAAGTCAGGTGGCTGTCGCGGGGAGACGAGGTAGCTAGGCTGTGGAGCGTTTTCAGGGCAGCGATTGTAATGATCGTGGAGTATGGTCACAAGATTGCTGCAACAGTACGAACATTGAAGTTTCACTTTTGTTTGTACTTCCTAGCTGACATTCGTGCACAGCTAAACTCCCTCAGCCGGCTTTTCGAGCACCGCAAGGCAAGTGTATACGCTATATTGTAAACACTCTGGTGCCTGTATTTTTACAGTGCTAACATGTTTGTCATGCCCGTTTTTACCATGTCAACATAGCCCAAGTCGCGAATGAAGTCGACCGCACGATCACAATCATCACGCACCGGTACATCGAGTACGGCGAGACATTTGGAGGCGGGGTCAGCACGCTTCTGTCTCGATTCATCAAAGAACATGGCGTGGAAAATCGAATGTTAGTGGTTGAAGGGATTGACGTGGATGGACGGTCGACATCATATCGTTTTGAACTAAGCGAGGCACCCTTCAAGAATCACAAGTTTGGGGGCTCGCTTGCCGACTGTATGAAGTTGTGCACGGGTTTCACGAAGGAGATTGTGGCAACAATGAAGTACCGAATGTGGGATTTACAGCAGATGGGCGGCGCGAAGCTGTTTCAAGTGGAGTCATGGCCATCCATGGAGGACTAGAGGGAGCTAAAGTGTTTTGAGTGGCTGGTAGGAAACGAGTTATTTGGCGGCATGCTCCATGGTGAGATTAGATCATGTACATGCCTTTGATTCAGTTCACCCACTGCATGTGGTTGTACTACACTAACCAGAAACTGCCCACCCGAAAATCGTGTCAGAATCCCAGCCACCAACCACTAGGATAAAATGGCTTGTTTGTGTAGCGGGTGAGTGCGCCCATAGCCCCCAAGGCCGACGTGCCTATAACCCTTCCCTAAGATCAATTGAGGATCTCCAGTGGACCTCTGACACCCCCCCCACATAGGGATGCCCAAGGTGCACACACTGGACTTCGAACTCGAGACCTTCGCTCTGATACCATATCAGAATCACAACCACTAACCACTGGTATAAAATGGCTTGTTTGTGTAACGGGTGAGTGCGCCCATAACCCCTGTAACCCTTCCCTATGAGCAATCGGGGGTCTCCAGTGTGTCAATCTATGTTTGTAGACATAGATATGCTCTAGTGAGTTGCATGTTAGGGAGTACAAAACTTTCTCACACTTTGGTTGTATTCCCTCCTTTTACCTAGTCTTATTATTCTCTCGCTACACAAGCAACTAGGTTCTTAAAGCTCGCGTCTCATATTTCTGTGTCCCAACCAAGTGTTAAACGCTTGGTATCCGGTAACCCTCAAACTGTCGCACAACTCCACTGAAGGTTGGCCCAGGTTGAAACGATTGGTTGGGAACCTACAAACTTGCTTGGCGGTATGCGCAGGGACGTGCCAAACCAATCATGCGATCGTGCACCTAGGTAGGTTTGGAAAACACACCTGCACGGCGACAACACGATCGCCCAAACTCCCCCACCGGCGACCAGGTTGTCGCACGAATCAAGCATTTACAACAGCTGAAAAATATGAGATTGACAGAACTCAGAAACCCGATTTCGCACTAGCACTAGGCTTAGGTTCAAGAGTAAAACTCTTTCCACTAGCAACCGCGGTTACCTCTAACACAAAAGTTAGATTCTCGTTGATCAGCATATACGGCCGACCTATAAATTTGAAATTAGGTCTTCATTTATCAGTATCAGCGGCGACCAGGGTACATCTCCTGCTTATCGTGAACCATGTCCAGGTAATGAGGCGCGCCAGGTAAGGGACGCGATGGGGCAGGACGGGACAGTACGGGAAGCGACGGGACTGGACAGGACTGGACGGGAAGGGACTGGAGGGACGGGACGGGACGGCACAGGAAGGTAAGAATCTCGACGAGGGGCCGGGAGGGGACGTGACGGGAAGGCGGGATGCGACGAGACCGGACGCAAATGGAAGGGAGGGAAGAGGAGCACGCGGAAGGGGCGGGATGCGACGGTACGGGGCGGAACGGGAGGGACGGAAGGGGACGCGACGAGGGGGTGTGCATGCAAGGGGTCATGCATGAATGCAGGTCCTTGGCGTAGCAGGGTGAAGAGCACATCGTGTAATACAGCACAACACAAGAACAGCGCACAGTGCAGCAGCGCCTGGACGAGTGGGGCGATTGCGAGCGCAAGTGCAGCCAGTAGCGCGAAGCCGCCAAACATGTCCCAAAACTCGGTCGTCCAGCTTGTCGTCGACTGGTTGCAGGGGGGATGGGGGCCGAGCGGGGGAGTGGGAGAGGGAGCGAAGCAGGAGCAAGTAGGGAGCGGAGGAGCGGAGAGAGGAGGGGAAGGGCGGGAGAGAGGCGGCGGAAGAGGGAGAGAAAGGAGCGGGAGGAGAGCGGGGGAGAGGCGGGTTGGAGTGGAGGCGGGGAGAAGGAGCAGGGGGGGGAGGGGAGGGGGTAGGTGGGATGTGGAGGGGAGGAAATGGGAGGGGAGGTGAGTGGAGACAGGAAATGCGCTCCTGCTTGCCGGCGTTCATCCTCCCTATCTCCGTTCTCTCCTCCCCAACCCCTTTTCCTTTCCTCCACCCCCCTTGCCTTTCCACTCATTCTCCCTGCCGCCCTGATTAGGTGCGAACGACAGGTTGCGATAAATCCCGTCATTCCCCCTTCTGCTCCCCATCAATTCCCGCTCTGCTTTTCCATCAATTTCCCCTCTGCTCTCTATTTCCCCCCCTGCTTCTCCTCCGTTCCCCCCCTGCTTCCCCCCATCCCCTTCCCTGCTTCCCCCCATCCCCTTTCCTGCTTCCCCCCATCCCCTTCCCTGCCCTCCCCATCCCTGCCTTTCCCTCCCTGCCCTGCGCTTCCCTTCCCCATCCCTTCTCAACCCTTCCCTTCCTTTTCATGCCCTCCCCTTCCCCTTCACACCTCACCCGCCCACTACCGTAGTTCCCATGCATGTGCACCCATCACTGTCTCCCCACATGCTTTCATCAAGTGCGCTTGCTTGTGTTCCCTTGCAGTTGTTCCTTTGGCACCTCACACCACCTCCCCCATGTTCCTTCACACAATTATTCCTGCCTACTCCACTCCCTGTATTTGCAGTGGTGAAGCAGAGGAGCAAGCTGAGGCGCAGCTAAAGCTAGTCCACGCTCTACACCGTACCACCACCTGTTTTTCTTGTGTGTTGTATGCAAGCATGATACTGTAATAGTGTAGGAGATATCCATATCAAAGGCACAATATGTACTTTTCTTTCTGCAGTGCAAGATATTCTTCCAAGATGTATGGACACTGAGAGTGTCAGAAGGATAGATAGAGGCATGTCCCTACTGGCATGTTCCTATACTGGCTTGTAGCTTGTAGCTTTGCGTATGCATTACAGGTTGTATGACACCTGGTGTCGCAATGGTGCCTCAAATCCATGAGAAGGCAGGGAGGTGTGATGGAAAGGCAGGGAGATGGGTAGTAAGTGAGGGGAGATTTGAAGGGACGGAGGGTGAAAAGGGAATACAAGCGAGTAAACATGAGTTAATAAGATGCATGTATGGGGCAAAAGTGATGGCAGCACATGCACATGAACTGGAGGGCAGAAGGCGAGGAGTGACATAGAAGGGCGGGGTCGAGAAGGGAAGGGCAGGGAGGAAAGGGCAGGGATGGGGATGAAGGGGAGGGGAGGAAGGGGAGGGAATGATGGGGAGAGAAGGAAGGGAAGGGGAGGAAGTGGAGGGAAGGAAGGGAAAAGGGGGGAGGGGAGATTGGTTACAGGAAGGAAGGGACGGCGGTGAGGATTGCGAGAGGGAGAATGGCAGGAAGAGTGTGAGAGGGCAGACGGGCCTTGTGATGTGGCCCACAAGAGATGAGAAGGAAAACGAGATGGTGGGAGGCATGAAGGAGATAAGGAGAGAAGCAAGGAAGGCAGGGAGAGGTGGTGGAAGGCATGAAGGAGAGATGGAAAAGGGGAAGCGGGATTGGAAAAAGGGGTGAATGAAAAGTGAGAATTCGGTAAGAAGGTGAGTGTCGGGGGAAACAGAGTGGGCAGAGGGGAGAAAGGGTGAGTGTGGGGGAAAGAGACTGAGCAGAGGGGAAAACGCGTGAGTGAGGGGTGAAAGAGAGTGAGCAGAGGGGAAACGGGTGCATAAAAGGGGGGTAATGAGAGCCTGCAGGGGGGGAAATGAGGGCGTGCAGGGGGGGAAATGAGGGCGTGCAGGGGGGGAAATGAGGGCGTGCAGGGGGGATGCCGCGCGAGGAGGCGAGAGGAGCACGCACGGGGAGGGGAGAGGAGCACGCGCGGAGAGACGAGAGGAGCACGCACGGGGAGGGGAGAGGAGCACGCGCGGGGAGGCGAGAGGAGCACGCACGCGGAGGGGAGAGGAGCACGCACGCGGAGGGGAGAGGAGCACGAACGCGGAGGGGAGAGGAGCACGCACGCGGAGGGGAGAGGAGCACGCACGCGGAGGGGAGAGGAGCACGCGCTGGGAGGGAAGAGGAGCACGCGCTGAGAGGCGAGAGGAGCACGCGCGGGGAGGCGAGAGGAGGCGAGAAGGGGATATTGGGCGGCAGAAATGGGAGATCGGGCCGCGGGAACGGGAACTCGGGCGGGTTGCACGGGAGATCGGTCGGCGAGCAGGGGAGATGGGGTGGCGGGGAAGCGGAGGTCGGGTGGTGGGAAGATGACGGCTATTACCTAATCATAAGCATAGGCAAAGGGGAGCGCTACTGCTGCTCACCCCAGTTACGTGACATTCTTTGTCCTTTTGACGCCTTTGGATAGGAGCTAGGTTACTAATGGAGTGGTAATGCTTCTACTACGTGTAAGGAGGTAGGGCTGGAGTGCTAACCTTGGCGCTTGATTTTTCCCTATCACTTCACTCCCTTGCACAATCTGTGTTCCCGTCGTCAGTGTTGGTCGCACAAAGTGCAACTTCCCAAACCTGTCACGCAAGAGGTTCGGATGTGACCCAAACCTGCCCCTGAGCTCTTGTGTTGGTGTAAGGAAAATTCCTATTCCTTACTTCGCATCCCTGCTCAACGCGTACATCACTGTAGCACCACAGTCAGCACCGTTACCACTCGCAACCCTCGCATCGACAATCCACCCGCCACCTTCACACATCGCACCCCGACCTCACGGCTCGGCGGGTAACCCGCGCTCCGGGCCGCTTCGACACTTTTTCCCAACCTCAGTCCCAGGCCCGTCGCGCGACAACCACAGTCCATTACCGTTACCACTGTAGTTTCGCTATATATTCTTCGCTCATGCCTTCGCTCATTGGACTCTTCGATAGTGCAATTCTCGTTCGTTCACTCAATTGCACTCGTAACACTTGGTATTCAGATCCTACGATCTCCTCTCGGACCGCACCCACACCTTCGCTTCCCCACTATCTCAATTTTTTGGGGGGGGTAGATGTCTCTCAGCGACACAGCACCGCCGCTCGTAGTGCTCTCTCGTAAGCACGCACGGCCACGACCGAGGCTCTCGCTGAGCTCGCCCGACACCCCCGCCATGGCCGAATTCACGCTCGCCACATTGACGCAGGAGCAGCTCGACCGTCTGGTGCGCCAACTTGAAGATTCGGCGCTCGAAATTGCGACGCTCACGGCGGAACGTGACTTCGCGCGTCAGCAATCAACGATGAACACTCCAGCGCCACCACACGCACCGACAAATGCATCTGCACAATCAGACGAGCCGATCGTCATCTCGTCCGGCACACCAACACAAAACAACAGCGTGGGACAGCGCTCAGGCGCAGCCAGCGATGGCACCGCCCAGCCGATGCCTGGCATGGGAGGAAACAGGGTCGCACCAAGCCCGCGGGAGCCTCGCGAAACCCGTCGGCACGTGGAGTTCGCGGCGACAAGTGGCGAACAGGCCATTATGGCACCAATGCCACTCAAGCCGCAACGCCCGCCCTGCTTCGACCCGAGCCAGCTTGGAGGTCCGACGGTTCAATCGTGGGTCTTCACGATGAACGTCTTCTTGTCAGAATGTTCTCATCTAGCCTGTAGTGGGGTGCTCTATAGCGAGTACAACCCTGTTAGGGTTTGCTATTTGTATCCCCATTCTTGCTAGTCAAACCCTCTTCTTTCTTCTACTTTTGTCATGCTATCAGAGCAGGTCGATCCCCTTGGATCGATCCTGTGGGTAGGTTACCACCACCTCGTTGCTTCCGCTGCAACTGCTACTGCTACTCTCTGTGCCGCACGCCCCGTGGCGTGCGGCAGTTTTTCTTCCCGCCGTGCGCCCCGAGGCGCGCGGCGGTTTTCTGCCCGCCGTGCGCCCCGAGGCGCGCGGCGGTTCTCTGCCCGCTGTGCGCCCCGAGGCGCGCGGCGGGCTTCTGCCTCGTCGCTCGGCGCGTCGCCCTCGGGAGGCGCTGCGACGGGCGACGGGGACCCGCGCGCCGGCCCGTCGACGCCCGTGCGCCGCTGCCCCGGCTCGTCGACGCCCGTGCGCCGCTGCCCCGGCCCGTCGCCGCCCGTGCGCCGCTGCCCCGGCCCCGCGCAGCTGCCCCGGCCCGTCGCAGCCCGTGCGCCGCCAGCCCCGGCCCGTCGCCGCCCGTGCGCCGCTGTCCCGGCCCCACACCGCCCGTGCGCCGCCCGTCCCGGCCCCGGCCCCACCTGCGGCCCCCCCCCTTTTCCCGTCGCCCGTCGCGGCTCCCTCGGGGGCCGCAAGCGGGAGGGGGGCGAGCGCCGCCATCCCGCCCTGCCTGAGTTAGGGTTTGGTGAGTGGCGAGAAGGGGGTGGCGAGTATGGGGGTGGCGGGTGTGTGGTCTCCCCTGCTTCTCCTCCTCCTCTGTCTCCCACTGCTGCAGCTGCCGCTGAGGGGGGTGGGTGTGTGGGAGTCGCTGGAGTCGTGCTAGGGGGTGGGGTGTGAGTGACCCTAGGGGTGCAGTAGGGGGTGTGTGCAAGGGGGGGTGAGACTGTTTGGGGAGCTGAATGAAGGATGCCGCTGTGTCGCTAGCAGCACCTGTAGTCCGGGGGCTTCGTCCGGTAGCTCAGTCGTAGCCAGCTGTGCCAGCCGCCCGTGGGTCCGTTGCTCGTCTGCCGCTACTTTAGCCGCGGGGCCAGTTACCCCTGTAGTCCGGGGGCTTCGTCCGGTAGCCGCTGTGCCAGTCTGCCTCCTGTTGCCCGTGTGTGTGCAGATTCATCCGTCGCCTCCTATCTCCTTTCCTCTCACTCTCGCCTCCTCCTCCTCACTTGCCCGCTGCAATAGCCTCTAGCTTTGCTCATAATTCTTTACTATTGCTTCTTGAACTTGTGCTCAGAATGTGTGGTGACATTGTGATCCACCCTGAGCTTGTACTGCTTTGCTTGCTCTGCTGATTACACCCCACTTTGGCTATGGGGGTGTGTCAGAATGTTCTCATCTAGCCTGTAGTGGGGTGCTCTATAGCGAGTACAACCCTGTTAGGGTTTGCTATTTGTATCCCCATTCTTGCTAGTCAAACCCTCTTCTTTCTTCTACTTTTGTCACTTCTTCGACGCAAATTACGTCGAGTCGGACGCAGCGAAGATTCGGTATGCCGTTTCGCTGCTAAGGGGCCCCGCCATGGACTGGTGGCGAGTCATCGTGACGTCGCCACGCGCCTACGAGCCACCGTCGCAAGAGGAAGGGCCCACGGGCCCAGCTGTCACCTGGAGTTCATTCTGCGAGACCGCCCAATACAGCACGTGGGATGCGTGGTGCGCAGGGCTTCGGGCGCGCTTCGAGCCGATCATGGCTTCTATTTCGGCGCGTCAGAGATTGCGCACTTGGCGGCAGCTTTGATCGGTTCAAGTCTATATGAGTGGTTTTCTCGCATTATGCGAGCAAGTCGGCTACATGCACGAAGCGGAGCGGGTGGACCGTTACGTCGGAGGGATGAAGCCGGACATCTCGCACGAAATCATGCTACGCGGGCTCTCGAACTTCAACGAGATTCTCGCGCTCGCCGAGAAAATCGACATTTTACGCTGTCCGAGACCGGGGTCCTACTATGGACATTGTTTTTGGGTACCGATCGAGCACGCCACTGTACACGCTGTCGAATGATAATGTTCTGTAGGCTGTTGTGGGGTAGCCCATATGGGGTACACATTTCTAGGGTTGCATATTTGTACCACACTCCATTCCTTAGTGCATCATTCTCGTTTCAGTTATCTCATGGTATCGAGCAGGTTCCCTCGTGGGAACTGTGCCTATGGCCCACCAAGTCGAAAGTTTTTTTTTCCTGCCCGGAGCGCGCTCAGCCCGAGTCGCGCTCCCCTCTCTGACTTCGTCGAGCCGCCCTAGCGGCCAAGTCGCGCCGCCTTAGCGGCCCCTGATTCGTCGCCCTAGCGACCCCGTCGCCCTACCTGCGCCTCGGCCCCGTCGCCCTACCTGCGCCCCGGCCCCGTCGCCCTACCTGCGCCCCGGCCCCGTCGCCCTACCTGCGCCCCGGCCCCGTCGCCCTACCTGCGACCCCGGCCCCGTCGCCCCACCTGCGACCCTGGCCCCGTCGCCATACCTGCGGCCCCGGCCCTAGCCCCGTCGCCCTACCTGCGCCCCGGCCCCGTCGCCCTGCTTGCGACCCCGGCCCCGTCGCCCTGCTTGCGACCCCGGCCCCGTCGCCCTACCTGCGCCCCGGCCCCGGCCCCGTTGCCCTACCTGCGCCCCGGCCCCGGCCCCGTCGCCCTACCTGCGCCCCGGCCCCGGCCCCGTCGCCCTACCTGCGTACCGGCCCCGTCGCCCTACCTTCGACCCGGCCCCGTCGCCCTACCTACGGCCCCGCCCTGCTGCCCTACCTGCGGCCCAGCCGTCCTACCTGCGGCCACGCCGCCCTACCTGCGGCCCAGCCGCCCTACCTGTGGCCCACCCGCCCTCACCTGCGGTCCCCGCCGCCCTTACCTGCGGTCCCCGCCGCTCTTACTTGCGGTCCCCGCCGCCCTCACTTGCGGCCCCGCCGCCTTCCCTGCGGCCTCGTCATCTGCTGCAGCGCCGCCCGCCACCCGAGCCGCCCGTGCCGCCTCACCTAGCCGAGCAGCCGATCGCCGCGCCGCCGTACAGCAGCACAGCCGAGCCGCCCAGCAGCTGAGCAGCCGGACAGCCGAGCAGCCGAGCCGCCCTGCAGCCGAGCCGCCCAGCAGCCGAGCAGCCGAGCCGCCCTGCAGCCGAGCCGCCCAGCAGCCGAGCCGCCCTGCAGCCGAGCCGCCGTGCAGCCGAGCCACCGAGCCGCCGAGCCACCCTACCTCCGAGCCGCCCGAGCAGCCCTGTCCGCTAAGCACAGCGCCTCTGTCACTGCACTGCCCTTTCCCTACTGTGTGCGCTGCTAGTCTACTGTTGTCATGGCTACCCCTAGTGTCCTCGCTTTTGACGCCGAGGGTCGAGCCATTGACTTTGACGTCTGGGTAGATGATCTGCAGCTATTCTTACAGTGCGATAGGGCAGACGGTCTCTCCCTCTTTGACCTCACCTCTGGTGCCTCTCCTGCTCCTGCTGCTGATGCTGATGCCACTGTTCGCACACAGTGGGCCACGCGCGATGCTGCTGCACGTCTTGCTGTGCGTCGCCACCTCCCTACCTCTGAGCGTGCGCACTTTAGTCAGTACAAGAGTGCTCAGACCTTGTACGACGCTGTAGTTGCACGCTACTCCTCCCCTGCCACTGCTGCACTAAGCCGTCTCATGCTACCGTACCTCTTCCCTGACCTTGCTGCCTTTCCCACAGTCGCTGACCTCATTACGCACCTCCGCACTAGTGACACTCGCTACCGCGCTGCGCT